AAAAAAAAGGTTAAATATAGTGCATAAATGCCTAATAGTAACAATCCGTATTTTTTATTTGAAATACTATTTATTAGCAAATTATTTTCATTAGAATTATAGTCTAGTAATTGTACTGTTTAGGGTTTTTTGAAAGTTCAAATCGATAATTTCTATAAGCCCCAATATTTTGAATTATTTTAATCATGAATCGAAAATATATGGTTATTCAGTTGTATTTGAGATGATCATTAAGACAGTTATAAAATAAAATGCATTGAACTCATTTTTAGATCTTCTCAAAATGATCATTTATTTAAAGTTGTTTTTTGATAAAGATTCATCTTGGTATATTAAAACGTTAAAATGAAGTGATGCGGCAAATGAAGTATTGGCAGGAAAATCACAGACAGAAAGATTATCATACTATGAAGTATTTGGGATCACCATTTATATTTCGACAAGTTAAGACAAAGTATGTCTTCTGCAGTTGTTACTATTTCAGTAATTTTCTTGGTAGTTGTCGTTCGACTGACATTAGGATCAACCGTTTGTTGACGAGAAGAAAATATCTCAATAAAATGTGTAACACAAATGAAGAACGTCTATGTTTGTTATCTTAAATTCTACTTTTTGAGATCTTCCGCGATAATATCTTGTGACAATATCTGTTACTGATAATTGACTAATGTAAAATGTGTTCTTATCCAATCGATCATGATTCCTCATGGTTTTATATAACATGTTCATATACGTACAAACAAAAAAACTTCGATGGAAAAATATTATTTTTTGTTTAATATAGAACCAATTTGAGTATAAAGAATAGAACTGATAAATGTCACTAATTATAATTATTGTAATATCTTTTGATGAAATATAGATGTGTCGACATGATTGTTTTTTATCGTTTAAATTCTTTGTTTATACAATTTGATGGTGATGTTAATTATTGTTAAGGGGAAGCGGTGAACAATAAAATAGAAGATCTGAACGAAATAACTATAGATAATGTTTTCAATCTTTAATAATATGATAAATAAAAGAATAAACACTAGAAAAAACAAATAAATCTATATTTCTTAACAAAAAGCATAGAAATAGTATATAAGTAATATTTATTGTCACATTCTCTAGTGTAAATAAACTATACAATAAAAACTAATCGTTCATACTTGAAACGGATTTACTTCTGTATAGCAGAATTGCGAATAAAATAAAATCATGCAAAAACTAATCATTATTACCCATTATTCATAGTATTTTTTACAATATTGTCTCTCCTATAATTGATAATGAACAGTTGCAATGCCCATAAAATATCATTCTTATTAAATGAAAATAATAAAAGAAAGAATTAAAAATGCCACGTGAAGTTAATTATATAATCTTAAATAATTCATTCTTATGTTGTTAATAGAAAAATAAATTCATTGAAACACAAGAATATTTTTACTTCTTTTTATATGAATCGAAGGTATGTCATTTTGTTATTGAAAAAGATTCTTTAATCTAAAGATATTAGTGACCTGAATTTTATTTCAAACTAATAAAAATAATTTAGTAAGAGGAAAAATAATACTATAGTCTCGTTTATAAGGATAAAACTCATTCAATTATGAAGTTTTGATGAAAAATTCTGAAATTAGTTTTTCTACTGTATATAAGCTATTTTACCTGTTTTCAAGACAAAGCTGCTTCTTATAAGTAGCTACTGATATAAAAAATAATCTATATGATAGAATTCGAGGTTTTTCAAATCCGGATAATGTATAATCATTGTCTTGTATGTCTATCTACGATAAACATCATTTTGAATTTTTTCATTTATTTTTTAATATCTACATAAAGAAAGAGTATCTAGATTATTTCTATTTATAATCTCAATTTTCTTTCAAAACTATGGATCATAAATCTAAATTGATTGTGATGCTTATTCTCGAAATTCCATCAATTGTTTTATCTATTTTAATTTTTATTTACTTCGGTATGCATCGTGAAGCTCGTTCAGAATTAAGAAATCATGGATGGCTTATTTTACTTATCGTCAATTTCTTTCAATTGATTATTAATTTACCAATGCCATTAAGTTATTATTATTTGAACAAGATTTCGCCCGCAACAAATGCATACTGTGTATGGTGGACATGGTGTGAATTTTCATTTAATAGTATTGGATTATTTTTAATGGCATGGATATCAATTGAACGACATATTATTGTTTTTCATGCTCATACAATGTTAGAGAAACAATGGAAAAAATGGATATTTCATTTCATACCTTTGATTTTCTGTTTAATATGGCCACCATTATTTTATTTTGTATTAGTTGTTATTAGTCCATTTTGTACAACTGAATGGGATTTTAATACTGTTCTTTGCGGTTTTCCATGTTATTTTACAAATGTATCTCTAAGTCAATTTGACTTTAATTTTAATCTTGTAATTCCTATTATAATTATTATGCTTGCAAATGTAACATTAGTTATTCGAGTAATCTATCAAAAGATGTCTCGACAACAAATGATCAATTGGCGACATCATCGTAAAATGGTATTACAACTTTGGATTATTTCATCACTTTATATTGGATTTTGGTTACCTGATATAATAACAGTACTCGTTCAAATTACTATATTACCTTCATTTATGGATCAACAACTGGAAACAATGGAATTTGCTGTCTATTTTATTCCACTTCTATTACCAATGGTATGTCTTACTGCACTACCAGAATTAATGAAAAAACTAAAGAATATTATTACAAGACCACAATTGAATGTCATTGATGTCGTTCATTACAATCGAAGATCAAAACAAATGATAACTGTTGTTGCTGCTCGATGATATTTCTATTTTAAACAGAAGATATTACCAAAAATACTTCAATAATCAATTATTTCGAATATATCTTTTCAGATAGGAATAATCTCGTAATTGAATATTTTTTTTATTACAAAAATAAACAAACTATATTTTCTACTTTCTGTCGCCTTACTAATTGACATGAAACTAGACCACTCTTTTACTTTATTGTAAAACTCATCTACACCTTTGTATCTTTTCTTAACAAAAAACTAACTTAATATGATGAATTTTGTCATTGAAATCAATGGTAAATATTTGAAAAGAAAAAAATTATTATTCACATGAGTTTATATAATTACTCTCACTATAATCTC